GATTTACCCCCTCCTCCTGACCAGGGCATTTTTGGCAATACAGCGCTGTGTTGCTTTAACTGACATTGAGCGGTCATACAACTTTGCACCCAAATGAAATTTATGTCCTTTTTTTCCCACAAATGGAGCTTTCTTTCAGCGGTATTTGACTGACTCTACGGTTTTTATTTTTTTGCGCTATAAACAAAAAAAGACCAAGAATTTGGGAAAAAAACATCTTTTTGCTATTAAACATGTCCAGTAAAAAAAATAAAAAAAAAATCAAATTAGCCATAAATTTAGACCAAAATGTATTCTGCTCCGTGTCTTTGCTAAAAAAAAAATCCCTATATGTGTATATTAATTGGTTTACACGATAGTTATAGCGTTTACAAATGGAGGTATATATACTGGAATTATTATTTTTTTAATACTAGTAATGGCGGCGATCAGCGACTTATAGCGGGATTGCAGCGGCCATTCTGACACTGGCAGGGAACTGACTAACTGCCACTGACATCCCCAGTGACACTAATACAGTGATCAGTGCTAATAAAAAGCACTGACACTGTACTAATGGCACTGGGGAGGAAGGGGTTAACGTGGGGCGATCAAAGGGTTAACTGTGTGCTGTTTTACTATGTAAGCACATTGCTTTGTATTGTTCTGCTATGTGTGCAGGAGCTGACAGGGGAGAGATCTGTGTTGTTTACATACAGAGCTCTCCCCTGTCAGTGATATACGGCGATCGGCAGGCGCCGGCGAGGAATCACTGGCTGGGACCTGCGATCAACAGCTGAAGCCGCCAATGGCGGCGTGGGTAAAGCCCCCTACCCGGAAATGCAAAATCACATATATATATATATATATATATATATATATATATATATATCTCGGGCGGACTGACAACTCATGGGGCACCCGGGCAATAGGGGATCATGGGGCCCCTATGTCCTCACCCACACTCAAACCACACCCAAAAAAGCCTATGAAAGGTACCAGGGGCATCTCATAGGGCCCCCTACTGACCCTGGGCCCTCGGGCAGTGCCCGAGTGCTCGAACGGTCAGTCCGCCCCTGATATATATATATATATATATATATACACCTGATTTTGTGCAGCCCTGCCACCCTGTAGCAGTATTTCTGCTATAGGGCGGTGGGCAAGCAGTTAGAGTAGAGGTCTCACTTCAATTTTTTTTTGTCCAGGGGACAAAGTACACGCAGCCCTTTGTCCCACTTTCCTAGGTGCTGGCTACGGCCAGCTGTGAAGTCAGACAGGGCGCCCTTGCCGACAACGCAGCTAACAAGGAGAGGCTGCTTTGACAGATGGCACTTTTTTCTTCTCCAATCACTTGCCCAGGACAAGTGTCTCCCGTGGAATTCAGGGGCGGGGGGGGGGGGCTTGTCAACTAATATGTTCCTGGGAAGCAGGAAAGTGCTTGGAGACAGAGAAAAGTGCTGTCTGTCAAAACAGCCATCTCCTTGCTAGCTGCGTTGTCGGACAGCCGTGGAAGGAGGAGGGGCGCCCTATCTGATCTCACAGCTAGCCAAAGCCTAGGAAAATGGGACAAAGTACATGTTGGGGGGAGCAAAACACATTAATAAAAATGGAAGCGAGACTATAGCAGTATTAAAACCCCACACAAAAAATTGAATATTTTGCAGGCAGTTTACCATACAGTAAATGTGGTGTCTGCAATAATTTTCTTTTTGAGTTTTTTTTCCCCCCTCTGTTTTCGCCTGGTGATCTGGCCAGTAACACACCTCCTGTATTAGAGCACCCCCACTCTGGATGAAGGAGCATAGGAACCATCTTTAAACAGCAGCATTTTTAGTCTGGGGGAGGGGAGTTTTAGATCTACCAGCAGATTTAGATACACTAACAAATTAAAGCCAAACTCCAGATCACACTTTATAATCAGAGCAAACAGTTTTTTTTCTTTTCGGGATAAAGGTTTTACATAAATAAATAAAAGCTGATCCTTGTAAACACCCCTGCCAGAGTTAAATGGTTTATCTCATCCCTGTAAACTGATACATATGGAAAAAAGCATGCTCTTTTGAAAAACAACAGATTTACTGGCAGGGGCGGACTGACAACTCATGCGGCCCCCGGGCAATAGGGATCATGGGGCCCCTGTGTCCTTGCCCAAACTCAAAAAAGCCTATGAAAAAGGTACTAGGGGCATTTCATGGGGCCCCCTACTGACCCCAGGCCCTCCGGCAGTGCCCGAGTTTCCAAATGGTCAGTCTGCCCCTGTTTACTGGCCAGATCACCAGCTCAATATAAAGGAAAAAAAGCCTATAAATGAAAACTAATGCAGACATCACATCTAAGAATTTGTAAACCGCAATATAATAAATGTTTGCTTTTCAGTTCAATACTGTATTGAGCATACTAAGGACAGCATTTCATAGCCACAGCTTTACTTGTGCATTCCTAAAACTTTTAACGCTTCTAATGGGTCCTATGAATCCTTCAACATCCCGTTTAGGTACACAAGGGTAAGACAGGTAAATAGTAATGCAGGCCATACACGGGTCGAATTCCAAACAAATTTTCTTGAGAAAATCTGAATTTTCGTGTATTTCGTAATCCGACATTGCCACCATTGATTTCGAAATTCGACCAACCCAGCCTTCAATTTCACCTCGCGTTGCTACAGAAGTGAATTTCCATGACTAAGAATGTTCTTTTCTTCCCAGGTCACAGCTCACGGCTCATTTCTTTTTCATTTATATTTCCTGCACGATTCTCCCATCGTTGATTCAAAATTTTAAAAAAAATTCCAACATGCCCGATCACTCAAACTCGATGGTCACATGAAAATCGGCCGTTTCTGTGACCCACAAACGGTGCGAAATTCGAACAAAAATTATTAGAAAAGATTTTCTAAAGAAAATTCTTTTGGAATTCGTGTATGGCCAGCTTTACTATTGGCAATTTTGATTTTTATTATATTATTATACAGGATTTATATAGCGCCAACAGTTTGCTCAGTATATATATATATATATATAATGATTATTTCCTCGTCCTTACTATATTAATTATATCTAGAAAGCGGAGATGTTCCGGGCAGCACAGTGGCTCAATGGTTAGCACTTCCGCCTTGCAGTATTAGGGTCGTTGGCAGGGGCGGACTGACCATTTGGAAACTCGGGCACTGCCCGAGGGCCCGGGGTCAGTAGGGGGCCCCATGAGATGCCCCTGGTACCTTTTTCAGAGGCTTTTTTGAGTTTGGGCAAGGACACAGGGGCCCCATGATCCCCTATTGCCCGGGGGCCCCATGAGTTGCCAGTCCGCCCCTGGTATAAGGCCTTATAAACAGACCCCCAGGAGCCGGTTCCATGTCTGTGGGTGGTCACAGGCAATCCCTGTCCAACAATTTTCAACTGTTTTTTTTCAACTGATCCCCTATTGCCTGGGGGCCCCATGAGTTATCAGTCCACCCCTGGTCGTTGGTTCGAATCCCAGCCACGGCACCTCCTGCCTGGAGTTTGCATGTTCTCCCTGTGTCTGTGTGGGTTTCCTCCGGATACTCCGGTTTCCTCCCACACTCCAAAGACATGCTGGTAAGTTAATTGGCTCCTGTCTAAATTGTCCCTAGTATGTGTATGTATGAATGTGAGTTAGGGACCTTAGATTGTACGCCCCTTGAGGGTTAGGGACTGATGTGAATGTACAATTTATATGTAAAGCTCTGTGTAAATTGATGGCGCTATATAAGTACCTGTAATAAATAAAAATAATAAATAAATGTTCTGTAATAGAATCCTGCCAGGGCACAAATATAGGAGCTGTCTAGCTTTTTTTACCTGCTACTTGGTAGGGTCATTGACCTGGAACATATTAGGTCCCCATACTTTACTGGCTGCATGCTAGTCCCAGATCAATGGTTCACTAAGTAGTAAAGTAAGGATTAAGATGACAGCCGTAAAGCTTGAACCTTTACAACAAGTCATCAATGGTCGCCTCCATATTCCCCCACCCCGACAGACCCCTTTAAGCCAGCTGGAGGTAATGACTAAAATGCCGCTGCAATGGATAGGAGATTGACTTAAAGGATATCCAAAAAAGCCACCAATTTTGGGCCATTTTGAGGACATCACTCAAAACCCAACACCTTCCCATGTTCTGAAATTCAGCCATATCATGCTTATATAACCAGACCCACATAAGTCTGCTATTATTAAGTGTGCAGCAGTCGTGTCATCTGGAAGCCTCAAGGTTAAACCGTCAGCTAGACAAGACGATCAAAAAAGACTCAAAGAAAACATGCAACGCTCACAAGATACCGGTCACTACAAAACACCGTCTATAGAGATGCGTGTGTTCGAATATGTGTTACGCAGGTGCTTTCGTGGCTTCCTATGCAGAAAGAAAGGCAAAAAAAAAAAAGCACAGATATAATTCTCATCTGCAAACGTTGACGTGCTTACTCGGTGGATTTGGGTTTCCCTCGAGCTGCCTGTGGGGGCAGTATCTGCCAAGGAAGGAAAGGGTTAATGCGGATGCTTTAAGGATTTAGTGGTGTTAGTGCATATGGAAAAATGGCATTTAATTTGATGCTGAATAAAAGCTCCCGCAGCTAAAGCCTTTTCACGCATGACAAGTTAAATCTGCAATTCTTTTTTTTTTTTCCATTTCAGAGGTCTTGGTATAAAAGGAGACTGGCACAGAAAGGGAATAATGTGAATCATTAAAAAGAGAAAAAAGGAGGTTGGTTTTTTTTTTGGAAGGGGTTACGGATTGTAAGCATGTCCCAACGTACCTGGTGCAGATGGTAATAAATCAAGGTCTACAGAAAATATTTAGGGGTAGTGTTTGAGCAGCAGTAGTTCTTGAGGGATCTATTAAAGATAGACATTAAAATGTTACCCCAAGGGATAGTTTGGCTGGTCCATCGTTTGCCAGTTTTGGTTGGGTGAGAGATCCAGAAAAGAAGCAATGAAATGTTTGGCAGAACACAAAAAATAAATACTTTAGTGTCACGGAGAACCGTCCAAAACAAAGTTTTACGAAAGTTTGACGACGCAAATGGCCAGTATGACGGCAATTAAAAGAACGGAGCTGAAGACCACGATGGCTAGGATTTTGCTTAGGTCGCAGATGGTTTTGTGCTCTTCCGTCGAGATGGTGCCCGGTGAGGATGCCCCGGCACCGGCGGCCAGCTTGAGCTCGGCACCGGGGTCTTGCTTGGCTTCCACGGTCCACTGCGGCACACTGACTTTCATTTCCATTTCGTACATCATCTCACCTACTTGATTGATCTCGTTCTCCAGATCCTTGAGGTCCATGACATCAATGTTGTGCTCGGCATCGTACTTCATGTTCTGGACGCTCATGGCCCTGGCGGCCACCCCGGACGTGCCACCGCTCATGCCACTCTGTATGAGGTGCTTTTTGGGGAGGTTTAACGGGAACTCATGGCCAAGCTCCAAAGCTCTTCTCATGTCAGTCTCTAGGATATCCATGCAGGTGGAGAAGATGACCCATAGCCTCTCAAATTCCGCTTTGTCGTCCTTGCTCAGGCTGGTGTCCTTGAGGGTACTGGTCAGTTTGTTCCTGTTGGCCACCGCCAACTCCTGGGCTTTCCGCCTGGTCTTCTTCAACTCCTCGCGTAGGTTCTGGGAGTCGGATGTCCCACCTATGGTGAGCACAAGATGCCTGTAGCATGCTGTCACCTTATTGAGAGCATCTAGTAATGCCTTGCACTCTTCCGCAAGCATCTCCCCTCCACCTTGCAATGAAGAACACAAGGAATCCAAAAAAGTTCTAAGGAGGCCTCTCAGATGAGGTGCAAGGGGATCATTTTTATACCATCCTCCAGGTCATGACACAAGCAGAAGATCTTTCCCGGAAAGCACTTTCCTTGTTGTGTCAAGCTGCAAGAGATCCTGCAACAGTTTCCGAAAGGAGCCATAAAGTGCAAACAATAATCCATGCATACAGTAGAGCAGCAAAAAAAAACAAAACAGGTTAGTGGTCCAATGGAATTTGAAGATGCTCTTGGGATAATGCAAAAAAATTCTGCAAGAGGATTCCCATTGCCAAAACAGGCAAGTTTACCAACTGTCTGCCAGCGACCGTCGCAACAAATCCTTATGCAGTGGCAATGCACAGAGCATCCTTTTTACAAGGACAAGGTCCTCTTGGTTGGCTTGCAGAATCCTCCGGCTCCCTGGCAGCAGGGAACTGTCCATACACATCCAGCTCTGAGCTCCGCACAGCCTCAAATAGCCAGCAGCACCTGCAGGAGTCACGTGAGGACAACACACACAAGAGGAGGGGTATGTCACTGCCTTCTAAATCCAAGGCAGCCATCTTTGTTTAGGGCAATGTGGGACTACGGTATTTCATGCATTAAATGCCTAATAAAATCAATTACTGACAAACAATTTTCTAGTCTTCAATACATGAAGGCTTTTAATTAAAAAAAAATATATATATATTTAAACGTGATGCTAATTGGGAGGAAAATGCAATAGTTACTAACGGGCAGCACAGTGGCTAAATGTTTAGCACTTCCACCTGGTAGTACTAGGGTCGGTGGTTCGAATCCCAGCCACAGCACCACCTGCCTGGAGTTTGCATGTTCTGCCTTGTGGGTTTCCTCCGGGTACTCCGGTTTCCTCCCACACTCCAAAGACATGCTGGTAGGTTAATTGGCTCCTGTCTGAATTGTCCCTAGTATGTGTATGTATGAATGTGAGTTATGGACCTTAGATTGTACACCCCTTGAGGGTTAGGGACTGATGTGAATGTACAATATATATGTAAAGTGCTGCATAAATTGACGGCGCTATATAAGTACCTGAAATAAAAAAATAAATGCTAATTGGGAGGAATTGCATGGACAGTAGACCATTCCCATGCATGTGAGTTGGCACAGGCGCTTGTAATCATCACCAGGGATGAGTATGACAATGCAGGAGTGCATTTAGGAGATAGTTGTCACTCCATTACAGGAAATGCCTGAAAAAAGACTTCAGTGGCAGGATCACCAGAGATTATTTTAAATCTAAACTCCAGGATAAACTTTTTTTTTTTTAAATATAATGGGCATGGAATTTCGGTGTGCTTTGCATATTTCTTCCAGATCTATTCCATAATCCAGTGTGAATGTTTGCTTCTGCACAGGAGCTTCCTGGCTCAGTTCACACTGGCTTTGTCAGCAGGTGTCAGGCAGACATTTGGGAAGCGTTTTTAACGCTCCTCAAACGCCCATGAAAATTCTGCACATGGCAGCACACAATGCTGTTCACTCTGAAACGTTAGCGTCGTGTCACATTGCGTCCTGGCAAAACGGACGCCTCGTGTCGAGTCAGGAGGAGTTGAAGCCTCCCATTCAAGTCTATGGTGCCGCTCCCCAAACGTCTGGCAGGCATTTGCGGTGCGGTTACGAGGCTGTTGCGGAGCAATAAGACCATTTAACTTCATTATAGGCGTATGTGGTGCAGTTTTAACACTTGGAAAACGCCTATCAAACACCTCAAAACCACGCATGGGGCATTTGGGAGCATTAAAAACGCTTCCCAAACGCCTGTCAAACGCTATAGGGGCGTTTGGCACGAGTTAGCAATAAAGTCAAGTGTGAACGAGCCCTAATACAGACAGGTTACTGCTGCTTTGTCTCCTTCTGCAGAGTGACTGGTCTTGTCTCTGCCCCCTTCTGTAGTTTTCTGTAGTGGGTGGAGCCTACTGTTCTGCTCTCTGAACAGGCTACGTACAGCACTGTGATGATGTCACTGTTACTTTTATAAGTAATATCTGAGTTTGCAAAGACATTTTGTACACGTGGACAAGTGGATTTTTATCCATTAAGGAATATATTTAAATGGAAGTTTTTGTTCCTGAAGTTCAGCTTTAAAAATGAACTCTGGGGGTGGTAAAAAAAATACCCTTGCAGTGGGTTCCCCCCCAACTCTATAACTTGCCATACTCCCCATTTCAACTGACTTCAGCACTGTCCTCCCCAGTGCTCCGGGCTGTGAGCCGTCCTGGGGTAACTTCAGGTACAATACAGAGCTACTAACCCTGCATTGTACATGGAAGAGGAGAACATGTGACCACAGCCAGAAGCACCTTGGAGAGATGGGAGCGCTGGAAGGATTGCATGAATGGAGGAAGCCTGCATGAGTCAGGAATAAAGGGATAATCATTGGTTTTGTACCCCCTAGACCCTTGCAGTGTGGGGCCCCACTGCAAGTTTTTTTATTCCTAGCCAGGAGTTCAGCTTCAATTAAATGTGCCGATTTAAATATGTTGGACATGACTTTGACATTATATTAACATAAATTTATCATCCACTTTCATCATCAACCAGGGGCAGACTGACAACTCATGGGGCCCCTGGGCGGGGGATGATCTGGCGGAGGTGATTCAAGTACAGTTCTTAGGTGGAGGTGGGGTAGGCTTCCCTGAAGAAGTGAGTTTTCAAAGATTGCCTAAAGGCAGACAGAGTGGGGGCTGACCGGACATGCTGTGGTAGGGAGTTCCAGAGGATGGGAGAGGCTCTGGGGAAGTCCTGGAGGCATATAACATATTATATGTTATCTCTCACACACGTCCAATAACTCTAGGGTTGCCACTTGGCTGTTTATATACCATCCTGCCTAGTAAAAGGGCCATTTATGGCCAATATTATTTAAAAAAAAGTTAATTCAAATGTACAATGTATAAAGTGCTGTGCAAATTCCTGCTCTGAATAATAATCATATAAATAATAATAATTACAAATTGTTATTATTAATATTATGAATATTATTAATAAATTGCTGTTGCCACCCCCCGCTGCTAATCCCTCCACTGGCTTCTGATTGCGCAATGGATCAAATGCAAAATCCTAACACTGACGTACAAAGCTGTCCACCATACTGCCCCGAACTACATCACCGACCTAATATCCAAGTACCACCCAACACGCACACTGCGCTCCTCACAAGACCTCCTCTCTAGTTCCCTGGTCTCCTCCTCCCATGCCCACCTCCAGGACTTCTCCAGGGTGTCACCCATCCTCTGGAACTCCCTGCCCCAACCCATCAGATTATCACCTACTCTCCTCTCCTTTAGGCGCACCCTGAAAACCCACCTCTTCAGGGAAGCCTACCCCACCCCCTGCTAACTTGACCGACCTCCTCCACTCTTCCTACCACTCCATCCCCCACAGCTATCTCCTCCTGTGCCACCATCCCCTCCCTCCTAGATTGTAAGCTCGAAAGAGCAGGGCCCTCAATCCCCTCATGTTTTGCATTGTATTGGTATTGTTCTGTCACATGTTCTGTAAGCCCCCCCTTTGTAATGTACAGCGCTGAGCGAATTATTGGCGCTTTATAAATACTGTATAATAATAATAACAATAATAATAATAAAAATTAGCAATAATTTGGTAACATTCCTGGTGTGGTATTAATGAATTAATAAATTCATTCATTAATTCATTAAATAAATAATTAAATCTTTACTAGGAATGTCATCACTTTTTTTTCTCTTTTTTCATTGTATACTACTACTACTAATAATAATAATAATATTATGTTTATAAATCTAATTATAATATATTTTTTTTTTCTATTTCAAGTACTTATATAGCGCTGTCAATTTACACAGCACTTTACATATATATTGTACATTCACATCAGCCCCTAACCCTCAAGGGGTGTACAATCTAAGGTCCCTAACTCACATTCATACATACACATACTAGGGCGGGTGTCGGCAACCCGCGGCTCCAGAGCCGCATGCGGCTCTTTTTCATCTTTGCTGCGGCTCCGGAGCACACTGCCCACCAGGTGACAGGCAATAGGGTTTCAGTGGTCGGCAAGCCGCGGATCGCAAGCCACATGCGGCTCTTCTGTGTGCCGGGCGCCCGCTCCCCTCCCTCCTCTCGGGCGGCCGCCTCAAAAGTCAGGACTCTTTTAATCCGGCCCGCGGAGCGTGGAACATTAGCTGTCAGGATGTAGGCGGGGCAGCCAGGATGTAGGCGGGGCAGCTGCGTGACGAACTCCTCTCACAGTCCGCCCTGAAGACCGGAACACAGCGCGGGAACACAGCGAGAGGAACGCGCGGAGCAAAGGTAAGTGAATTGAGACAATATGGGGAATTAATTACTATAGGGGGGATGAATTACTATGGGGGATGAATTATTATATGGAGGATTAATTACTATGGGGGATGAATTACTATGGAGGATGAAATACTATGGAGGATGAATTACTATATGGGGGATGAATTACTATATGGGGGATGAATTACTATGGGGGATGAATTACTATGGAGGATGAATTACTATATGGGGATGAATTACTATGGGGGATGAATTATATGGGGGAATATGGAGGATGAATTACTATAGGGGGGATGAATTACTATGGGGGATGAATTACTATATAGGGGATGAATTACTATGGGGGATGTATTACTATATGGGGGATGAATTACTATGGGGGATGAAGTACTATATGGGGGATGAATTACTATAGGGGGGATGAATTACTATATGGTACCAGCCCAACACGCACACTCCGCTCCCATCACAAGACCTCCATAACTCCTAGTTACCCATGGGGATGAATTACTATAGGGGGGATGAATTACTATAGGGGGGATGAATTATATATGGGGGATGAATTACTATATGGGGGATGAAGCTAACTGCACGATCCTGTATATAGCATTAAGGTAAGAAACAATATATGCAGTGTCGGATTTGTTTTAAATGTTGCAATGG